GTCACACAACTGTTGTGACGTCATTGTTTCAGCAGGCCTAAATGCCACCTTCCCTTGTTATATATTATATTTTTCCTTTCTACTTTTGCTTATTAACTTTTTCACTCTCACTGTATGGTGCCCCACATTTCACTTGTTATCCAATCTCTCGAAATTCTTGAACACCCGCTTCCACACTCACTTGAATCTTTGTATATTTGAATCTGTGTAGCAACAGAAGCCTACTATCCACTAACGGTTTGACACTTTGAAATATTAAAGATTTCAGGCTTCCTCTCGACTTTTTTTAACTAATAACTCTGGTTATCACTCGTAGGATTGTTCACTGACGTTGTCACTACCACTGATTACTGCTAGCAGTTGTTGCACGCCTTAAAAACCACTAAAGTTCTCGGAGCCTTGTGACCCACGTCTGCTGACTGACTGTGTGTGTGTGTGTGTGTGTGTGTGTGTGTGTACTCACCTAGTTGTACTCACCTAGTTGAGGTTGCAGGGGTAGAGTCCTAGCTCTTGGCCCTGCCTCTTCACTGGTCGCTACTAGGCCACTCTCCCTGAACCGTGAGCTCTATCATACCTCTGCTTAAAGCTATGTATGGATCCTGCCTCCCCTACATCCCTTCCCAAACTATTTCACTTCCTTACTAGTCTTTGGCTGAAGAAATACTTCCTAACATCCCTGTGATTCATCTGTGTCTTCAACTTCCAACTGTGTCCCCTTGTTGCTGTGTCCCATTTCTGGAAGATCCTGTCTTTGTCCATCTTGTCAATTCCTCTCAGTATTTTGTATGTAGTTATCATGTCCCCCCTATCTCTCCTTTCCTCCAGTGTCGTCAGGTCGATTTCCCTTAACCTCTCCTTGTAGGGCACACCCCTTAGATCTGGGACTAGTCTTGTTGCAAACCTTTGCACTTTCTCTAATTTCTATACATGCTTGGCTAGGTGTGGGTTCCAAACTGGTGCCACATACACCAATATGGGCCTAAAGTACACAGTGTACAGGGTCCTGAACGATTCCTTATTAAGATACCGGAATGCTGTTCTGAGGTTTGCTAGGCGCCCATAAGCTGCAGCAGTTATTTGGTTGATGTGTGCCTCAGGAGATGTGCCTGGTGTTATACTCACCCCAAGAACTTTTACCTTCAGTGAGGTTTGTAGTTTCTGGCCCCCAAGACTGTACTCCGTCTGCGGTCTTCTTTGCCCTTCCCCAATTTTCATGACTTTGCACTTGGTGGGGTTGAACGCAAGGAGCCAATGTCTGGACCTGGTCTGCAAGGCTGTCCAGATCCCTTTGTAGTTCTGCCTGGTCTTCGGCCGAATGAATTCTTCTCATCAACTTCACGTCATCTGCAAACAGGGACACTTCTGAGTCTTCCTTCCATCATGTGGTTCACAAATTCCAGAAACAGCACTGGTCCTAGGACTGACCCCTGTGGGACACCGCTGGTCACAGGCGCCCACTCTGACACCTCGCCATGTACCATAACTCGCTGCTGTCTTCCTGACAAGTATTCCCTGATCCATTGTAGTGCCTTCCCTGTTATTCCTGCTTTGTCCTCCAGTTTTTGCACTAATCTCTTGTGTGGAACTGTGTCAAACGCCTTCTTACAATCCAAGAAAATGCAATCCACCCACCCCTCTCTGTCTTGTCTTACTACTGTCACCTTGTCATAGAACTCCAGTAGGTTTGTGACATAGGATTTCCCGTCCCTGAAACCATGTTGGCTGCTGTTGATGAGATCATTTCTTTCTAGGTGTTCCACCACTCTTCTCCTGATAATCTTCTCCATGACTTTGCATACTATACATGTCAGTGACACTGGTCTGTAGTTTAGTGCTTCATGTCTGTCTCCTATTTTAAAAATTGTGACTACATTTGCTGTCTTCAATGCATCTCCGTGTTTCGATAGATGTATTGAATATTGTTGTTAGGGGTACACAGTGCCTCTGCTCCCTCTCTCAGGACCCATGGAGAGATGTTATCTGGCCCCATTGCCTTTGAGGTATCTAGCTCACTCAGAAGTCTCTTCACTTCTTCCTCGGTTGAGTGTACTGTGTCCAGCACTTGGTGGTGTGCCCCACCTCTCCGTCTTTCTGGAGCCCCTTCTGTCACCTCTGTGAACACTTCTTTGAATCTCATGTTAAGTTCCTCACATACTTCACGGTAGTTTCTTGTTGTCTCTCCTTCTTCCTTCCTTAGCCATATTACCTGGTCCTTGACTGTTGTTTTCCTCCTGATGTGGCTGTATAACAGCTTTGGGTCAGATTTGGCTTTCGCTGCTATGTCGTTTTCATATTGTCGTTGGGCCTCCCTTCTTATCTGTGCATGTTCATTTCTGGCCTACGACTGCTCTCTTTATTCTCCTGGGTACTTTGCTTCTATATTTCTTCCATTCCCTAGCACACTTGGTTTTTGCCTCCTTGCACCCTTTTGGGGGAACCATGGGCTCATCCTGGCTTTTTCATTATTTCTGTTACGATTGGGCACAAACCTCTCCTCAGCCTCCTTGCATATTGTTGTTACATACTCCATCATCTCATTTACTGGCTTCCCTGCCAGTTCTCTGTCTCACTGAACCCTGTTCAGGAAGTTCCTCATTCCCATGTAGTCCCCTTTCTTGTAGTTTGGCTTCATTCTTCCTGGCCTTCCGGCTTCCCCCTCCACTTGCAGCTCTACTGTGTATTCGAAACTTAAAACCACATGATCGCTGGTCCCAAGGGGTCTTTCATATGTGATGTCCTCAATATCTGCACTACTCAAGGTGAATACTGAGTCCAGTCTTGCTGGTTCATCCTCTCCTCTCTCTCTTGTAGTGTCCCTTACGTTTTGGTACATGAAGTTTTTAATTTCCACCTCCATCATCTTAGCCCTCCATGTATCTTGGCCCCCATGTGGCTCCAAGTTCTCCCAGTCGATCTCCTTGTGGTTAAAGTCACCCATGATCAGGAGCTTTGCCCTGCATGCATGAGCTCTTCTGGCTACTGCAGCTAGTGTGTCAACCATCGCTCTATTGCTCTCGTCATACTCTTGCCCTGGTCTCCTGCTGCTTTTTGATGGGTTATACATCACTGCAATTACCACCTTGGGACCTCCAGAGTGAAGCGTTCCCACTATGTAATCACTTTCTTCTCTGCTGTCTCCTCTCTCCAGCTCGTCAAAATTCCATCGGTGTTTGATCAGCAGTGCCACTCTTCCACCCCCCACCCCCCCCGCCTGTTCCTTCTGTCTTTCCTCCGGATCTGGTATCCCGTTGGAAAGATAGCATTTGTTATCATACCTGTAAGCTTGGTTTCTGTGAGTGCTATGATGTCAGGTGATGCCTCTTTGACTCTTTCGTGCCACTCCTCCCACTTGTTTGTTATTCCATCAGCGTTTGTGTACCATACCTTCTGTTTCCTTTCCAACACTGTTGTTTGGGGGGCCTGTGGGGGTGGGAGACCTGGTAGCATACTGTGGGATTCTATGGTTGGGTGTTGGGTGGAAGCTGTGGGTTTGGATTGTAGTGTGTGTTGGGATAGTGTGATAGGTTGTGGGGTTCTGAGGATAGTTGTGTGTGTGCTTGCTCTTTCTGCTCTGTTCTGCTCTGACTGACCTCTGCTGGTTCCATCCTTGTCTCCTTTCCTAGCTCCTATCGCTTTTTTGTCCTCTCCCTCAGCTGCTGTCGCTCTGTTTGTGTTCTGTCTCTGTCTAGGAACACCTTCTTGTACTCTTCCGAGTTTTTCAACCGAGGTTTCTCTTGGAGGATCCTGTTCCGCACTGTTTTTGTTCTGAGAATCAGCTTGATCAGTCGGTTTCTCCCATTCAAGTTCCCCCCTATTCTCTGAAAATTTACAATCTCGTCCATGTCTTCTTCCCCTATTTCCGTGATGATTTTCTCAATCTCCTTTCTTTATTCCTGCCGTCTTTCAGTGTGTGTCCTTTCCTCTCTCTCCCAAAGCCCATGGATAAACACTGATTTTGCCCTTTCCTAATCCCATTGCCTCTCCCTCAGTGACTGGTTCCTGTCTGTATGTGGTCATTTTCTCCCTTGATTGTGCATCAGCATTCGACCTATCTCCCTCTCCATCTGCGCCTAGCTGCTCTTCCCTTTCACTCCTTGGCCCTTCTTTGCAGGCTGATATTACCTTAGCATAATTCATATCTCCTTCCTTCCTGTTCCGCCTCTCAGCTTCATATGCTGCGTCTTCTCTGGTCACTGCCCCTGAGACTTGCTTCAGCTTGTTTACCTCAAATTCTAGGGCCCTTACCTTGGCTACTGCAGTTTCGACTTGTGCCTCCCAATACTTCGTGAGTGTGTGTGTGTGTGTGGGGTGTGTGTGTGTGTGTGGTGTGTGTGGTGTGTGTGTGTGTGTGTGTGTGTGTGTGTGTGTGAGTGAGTGTGTGTGTGTGTGTGTGTTGAGTGAGTGTGTGTGTGTGTTGTGTGTGAGTGTGTGTGTGTGTGTGTGTGTGTGCAAGTGACTCTATTTGACTGTTTTAGTTTGTGTTTAAGAATGACTACGTATATTGTTCAGTAGAAATCTAAGTAAGAAGACTTACATTTGAGAAGATTTGATCCCATCAGAAACCCAATTTCTTTTTTATTTCCTGAATGTAGAAAGGATTGAAACCCTATCTTATTCTAGTATAAAAGGATTTTGGAAGCTAGAGCTCAACAATGACACCATATGAGAGAGGTTGAACTATTATTATTGTTATTATTATTATTATTATTATTATTATTGTTATTATTATTATTATTATTATTATTTTTATTATTATTATTATTATTATTATTATTATATTATTATTATTAATATTATTATTATTATTATTATTATTATTATTATTATTAACCAAAACTAAGCGCTAAATTCACAAGGGTCAGATGGGGTTTATAATAGTTTAGGTGTTATGAGATAATGATGTTATTAAAATATGAGTTGAGAAAATATCACATAACCGAGCCTTCTGGATGACATCAAAACCACTGAATACTATAATTTACATGGTACAGGATAGTTACCTGAAGCCTTCATCCAGGTGATAACAGGGTGTGGGTAGCCACGGGCACTGCAGTCCAGCACCAGCGTCGAGCCTACCACTGCTGTTGCACTGTGAGGCTCTCGCACCCAGCGAGGCTTTACCTGCACCGTCCACATAAACCTCTTACATACTGACAAAAATTATATATATACACTCCAAAAAATGTTAGTATATACTTATCATTAAACGTTATTCATTATGATAGAAATAATTTCACTAATTCCGTAGCCTTTTTACTTGTTCTTAAACAGGATAATAATATTACACTTTTTCATTAATACTAATTTCTCCTTATGTGAATTTTAATAAAAAAAATCTTTCGCCTCTTTATAGTTACGAATATTTGGAACAAATACATCGGTCTCAAATGATCTACATTGACACTTTATAATTAGTTTAGGTTTAAATACAAAAATGGAGTTTGCAATAAGTTCCTTATTCCTTGATCATCTATCTACATTAACTCTGACACGCCAGCAGTGAAGGTTGGTAGTGGCGGCCGCGTTAGCGGCCTCACAGGTGTATGATCCAGAGTGATGTTCACCCAGGCTTCTGGAAACAGCAGCACCTTAAATCGATAAGATTAAGAATAATAATTATATTATATATATATATTATAATATATATCTATATATTTATAATTTATATACTATATATATATATACTATATATATATTATATATATATATATATATCTATATATATATATATTATATATAGGATGGGGTCCACCTCTGTTGTAAATTGTGGGACCCATAGCCTCGGGAAGTGGATAAAAAGCGCTTCAAGGAAGGATATTTGCGGACAATTATATATATATAATATATATATATATATATATGATTATATATATTATATATATATATATATATATATATATATTTATATATATATATATATAAATATATTCTTTATATTTATATATATATATATATATATATGCAAAACAATCACGTGAAAGAGTAGGAAATCCAAGCGCTTTCGTTGGCTACTCACACTGTCAAGGAACTTTGAAAGTAATACATCAACTGGTAGGCATAAAGGGTTTAGACCGCACACTATACATGGCATTTTTGGAAACAGATTGCTTAACAAACAATTCTCCCTAATAGAGCAACAATGGTTTCAGATATGTCGATGGATATTTTCTGTTTATGGCCAAGAATGTAGATATAACAAACTTCCTTGGCAATTAAATATCTTAGCCCATTCTAAAACTTAACTGTTGAGTTTGAGGAAAATAACTCATGTCTTTTATATGATGTTTTAATTATTAAGAGTAATATGAATTCAAATTTAAAATTTACAGAAAACCTACCAAATAATTGTTCCTATGTCCACTATTATTCTCAATCAAGATAAAGTCAAACTTGTCTGTTTTCTCATCAATGTTTTTGAGAGCTTTAGAAAATTGTAGTTCCAGAGTTCATAGATGAAGAATATCCAAACTTTATGGAAATAGCCAATGATCTGAAATACCCCGAGGAATGTAATTGATAAAGTCTTAAATTGCTAGAATACTTTTTACAACCCAAAAAGGGACAACCAGCCTTATTCAACTAAAACTATGTTGGTTCTCCCTTACCATGAAAACTTGGTTGATATGCTTCTCTTCTTAAGACTTTAATATGAAAGTTGTATTCAAAAATCTTGATACTGTAAAAAAACTTTTGATAAAGAATTCACCCCAAAATGCTGATGGATGTGTCTATAAGATTTCCTTGTAAAAATTTGTGCGATAAAGTTTATTACGGTCAAAATGGTAGTAAAAATCTCGAACTAAGATTAAACAACATAATTATAGCATTAGAAAAACTGGACAAGATTCCAATGGCTCTATATATCATGTAAGAGATTTTAAATACCAATCCAATTGATATGTCATAAAGTTGGTGAAAGTAGTATCAAGCATGTCCATGGTTCGACTGGAATATTAATTGAATCTTGTTTCATAAAAAGCAGTTTTGAAAATAATATGAATATTTCCTTAGATTTGTATAAATTAGATTCATTTATTTAATTAATAAAAATTTGGTTGAGTTTAATAAATACATTGGACAAATAATAAACCTATTTGTTGGGATAGAATGATTTTTGGTGGGATGCCCGTGAGGACCTGTCTATTTGGACCAGCGGACCTACTGAGCAGTGTCCTCTTATCTTATGAATCGGTATTGTCGCGCGTTCAGGTGTTTCTTTGTTGTGGGAGTTATAGATGTGAGGTGTGGTCATAAAGACCTTTAATTGCCTTCCTTTGATTGTATTACTTTCATAGATTCCTTGACAATGGTGAGTAGTCACGAAAGCGCTTTGGAATTTCACCTACTCTTTCACAGTGGTTGTTTTGCATAATTTATAATCACTGTTTACTGTATCTTATTGCAATTTACTAAATATTATATATATATTTATATATATTTATATATATATATAATATATATATATATATATATATATATAATATATATATATATATATATATATATAAATATATATATATCTATATATATATATATATATATATATGTATTTATTTTTATTTATTATCACCGGCCGATTTCCACACAAGGCCAGGGTGGCCCCCGAAAAGAAAAAAATTTCACATCATTCGCTCCATCACTGTCTCTTGCCAGATGGGTTTGGCTTTACACTACTGTTTTTAAACTGCACATTAACACCCCTCCTTCAGAGTGCAGGCATCTGTATTCCTATCTCCAGGGGACCAAGTCCGGCCTGCCGGTTTCATTGAATCCTTCATAAAGGTTACTTTGCTCACACTCAAACAGCACGTCAAGTATTAAAAACCATTTGTCTCCATCTCTCCTATCAAACACGCTCTGCATGCTGTGTGTGTGTGTGTGTGTAATGTGTGCTCGTGTGTGTGTGTGTGTGTGTGTGTGTGTGTGTGTGTGTGTGGTGTGTGTGTGTGTGTGTTGTGTGTGTGTGTATACGCAAGACAAGCCACGGGGGGAGGGAGATCGTGTAGCTCAAGTACTTTCACACCTTTCAGTGCACATCAGGAAGCTGTGCAACGTTGCAGAGAGCAACTAAAAAAGGTGAGAGTTGTCAGGGTAAGCGTAGTGCGGATTGTGTCACCAATCCACGGTTTCCTTAACGAATGTGATAACGAGGTCAGTACCAACCCCACCCTTCTGCCATCCCCCTACTCCCGATATGGGGTAGGAGGGTTTCTGAAAGATGTCAGGTATGACAATATGAGAATTAATAGCCAGCCCCTAGCTTTTTTCTAATTGGTGTATAACAGGTCATGTGGTTTGCGAAAATGGGATTGCATATATTTCTATACTAATCCTTTTTAATTATAAAAAAGAAAGGAATGGAATTGTGCTCTTTTGTCATTTTTAAATGCTTCCTTCTGGGGGTACTCGAATGTTCTACTGATTACTCAGAAGAATATCTTCCTGAATTTGTTCTACTTTCTTCCCAGTATCGAGTAATAATTCCTTTGGAATTTTCTATGCTTAGCGATAATATTTCTATGATCTAAATTTCTAATTTCCACTATACCCTTTAATCCCTTCTTATGTTATCTCGCTAAAGGTATTAACAACCATTCGAGCTGACGTGGTGTGAAGTTTTTGGTGCGTAGACATTGGTCGGGGTCGTCACCAATTCATCAAACCAAATGGCATAATGAGCAAACCTGTGATTTTGTAGTGCATTGTTCTTTAAGGTTGTATACAATGGACTCTACGAAGTAGCTATCAAGCTTGTATAACCCATTTTTTGAGGTTAGATACTGTATTCCTTTCCATGTATCAAGAGGGAAAGATTCAAAATATGCTTTCCATGACGGAAATGTTTGGTACTTATTTGGGCAGCCATCCCATGCTGTTTGGCTCGCCTCATAGTTGAGCAAGAATGATTGATGACTTTAGACCACTTAGTCCACACAATCTTTAACAATGGCGCACCAGCCAGGCTAGATGTTGCACCCGCCATCGAAGGACATACAGTGGTGTGGACGCCTCTGAGCTAATTTATTTATCCTTGTAAAAAGGAAAGGACACACTGCAAACTAATGTGACATTCATTGTGGCAACGTTTTCGCTCTTCCAGGAGCTTTGTCAAACTGATTTACAAACAGTACATGGATTACAGAGGGTATATATAGGCTCAAAAAGTGAGGTGCAATTCTCAGTGGTAGTAGTAGGAGTCATGACTTTAGTTTGCCACTTGTGTCCTTTTTACTTTCATATTGTCGGTAAATTCTACCAACTAATTACATTCTTACTCCTTGTTTGTGTTACTAGCCAACAAGGAGTATATTATATTATTGTACCCACGAAAAACGTGTGGTATTAATCATTAACAATACTGCACTAAACAAGCAGTTCGAACACATTGCTGTTTCTGACCAGTCAAATGATCGGAAGTCAACAGAGACCTGATGGAGCCACTTATGCTACCCAGGAAGAATGGTACCAGATTGCCTGGGACTACACCTGTGCCACCACATTGGCAGACACTTTACTTGCCATATTTGAAGCTGAAGGGGGGGGTGAAGCTGCCAGCTAAAGTGAGGACGGAAGACCTGACATGATATGAAGGCCTTCCCCCTTCACTATAATTTCATCGAAATAGGGTCGGAGGACATTGGAGCAATGGGGTGAGTGTTCTCTACGTTCTTCAAAGAGTTGGGTGAGAAATCATCATAGAAACCAAGGAGTACAGAGCTACTGCAAGATTCTCTCTTTCAGAGATCAGTGTTGAGATCAGAGGGGAAAATGCCTGCAGCTTCCTGGCCACGTGGCCCACCGCCGGGGAGCTGGCGAATGTACTGGAGATGTGCTCCTGAGATGTATCTATGTTGTTCTACTCCTATTGTAATTTTGTCAATGTCTACATAGATATAGCATATAAGGAGTGATAGATGACAATATTTCAAACAGCTCCAGGGAGAGTTTTGAGAGTAAGCTTTTACTTTCCTCTGAGGATGAGGGGTTCCTAGCACAGTTTCAGAGGCGGTACCTTTGTATGTTATATATATATATATATATATATATAATATATATACATATATATATATATATATATTTTTATATTATATATTGTATTACACACATTAGGCCGATTCCCACCAAGGGCAGGGTGGCCTGAAAAGAAAAACTTTCATTCATCATTCACTCATTCACTGTCTTGCCATAGGGGTGCAAACTTTAACACCCTTTCTTCAGAGTGCAGCCCACTGTATACCATCTCCAGGAACTCAGTCCGACAGGCCGGTTCGCTGATCCGTCTATTATGGTTACTTTGCTCACACTCCAACAGCACGTCAAGTATTAAATCCCATTAGTCTCCATTTGACTCCTATCAAACAAGCTTATGCATGTTGCTGGAAGTCAAGCCCCTCGCACACAAAACCTCCATTTGCCCCCTCCCTCCATCCCTTCCTAGGCCGACCCTACCCTGCCTTCCTCCACTACAGATTTATACACTCTCGAAGTCATTTCTGTTTTGTTCCATTCTATCTTCATGTCCGAATCTACCTCAACAACCCCTCCCTCAAGCCCTCTGGACAAAAGTTTGGTAATCCCAAAGCTTCTCCTAATTTCCAAAACTATGAATTCTCTGCATTATATTCACACACACACTTGCCCTCAGAGATGACATCTCCACTGCCTCCCAGCTCGTCCTGTTGCAACAATCATCACCCATGCATGCTTCACACCATCATTTACGAGTGTTGGTACAACTATATTCACATACATTCCCTCTTTGCTCACGGAAAACGTTCTTTGCCTCCACAGACTCTTAAGTGCACCATTCACCCTTTTCCCCTCATCACTTCTATGATTCACCTCATCCTTCATGGATCCATCTGCTGACACGTCCACTCCTAAATATCTGAATACATTCACCTCCTCCATACTCTCTCCCTCCAATCTGATATCCAGTCTTTCATCACCTAATCTTTTTGTTATCCTTATCACCTTACTCTTTCCTATATTCACTTTTAATTTTCTTCTTTTACATACCCTACCAAATTCATCCACCAATCTCTGCAACTTCTCTTCAGAATCTCCCAAAAGCACAGTGTCATCAGCAAAGAGCAGCTGTGACAACTCTCACTTTGAGCTTGATTCTTTGTCTTTTAACTCTACACCTCTTGCGAAGACACTTGCATTCACTTCTCTTACAACCCCACCAATAAATACATTGAACAACCACGGTGACATCACACATCCTTGTGTAAGCCTACTTTTACTGCGAAAAAAACTCCCTCTCTCCTGCATACTCTAACCCGAGCCTCACTATCCTCATAAAAACTCTTCACTGCTTTCAGTAACCTACCTCCTATTCCATACACCTGCAACATCTGCCACATTACCTCCCTATCCACCCTGTCATACACCTTTTCCAAATCCATAAATGCCACAAAAACCTTTTTACCCTTTTCTAAATACTGTTCACCTATATGTTTCACTGTAAACACTTGATCTACACAC